ACCTATTTTTTGGGTCTTTAAAAATTGATTTCTTGAAAGTTTATTGTTTGATACAGAACGTCTTTAGCTAAAATCTAGTAGACCAGTTGTTACAAACATCGTTGATTATATTATATCGTGTGACAGCTGATCTCCAGCGTCTTGCTTTACTCACCCCCTTGCCCACTGAGCACGGCCAATCCACGACCTCCGTGTGGAGTTTTTTTGTCATAAGTCAGTCAGTCAATTTTTTTTCATGTTTTTTAGCAAGCGCCTTCACTTGAATAGGAAATCGTTCGGCCGTTGTACACCATAGTTTTTATTATTTGTTGTGCTCCCTTGTGCTCAAGTTATCATGCCCTTGCACGCCTCCAGTGATTCTATCACGAAATTACTTCACTGCCATAGTCGCTTTTCCGCCGTTTGTTTTCATCTGCCATTACGTGCCTGGATCTACACACTGATTCGTGATACTCAGATTTTCGACACCATTACCACAAGATCTCATACAGTCCACTCATCACTATTAACAACTTCATCTATTCAGATGAGTTTTATATTATTTTTAATGTTATTTATTGTTTGTTTTGATTAAGATTAAATATTTTGTTTTATGCCGCTTCGCCGGCCCCCTTAGCTGGCCTCAGCTACCCCTTAAACTTAAGATACTCTCTGAAGAATTTCTAATATATGTTGTTATTTAATTATTGTCTACTCTTGTTATTTATTGGATGTACCGTTAGTCGTCATTCCTTAGGTGATTCATTCCCGCTTCAATAATTAGCGATTTAAACAGGCTTAAGGTAAAACGGCATTCTAGTGCGGTGCACAACTAGCCGTCCTACGGACTAGCTGCCTCGTACAAAACATTTATAATAAAAAAATATTAAATAAAAAATGTTAAATTACCATATCTTTAAGCATAACTTCAAGTTTAAAATTTACATTTTAAATAGAAAATTTTATGAAAATTAAAAAAATAGTATTATTAAGATTTAGTCTAACTAATATTATACCTAATTTGACAGTAAATACTTTAAAAACATTAGAAATTAATGATTTTAATTGTCTATATGGAGAATGTGGTCTAAATAACATTTTAATTGATAAAGTGGACATTTTTTTAATTTTTGAAGGTAATATCTTTAACTAGATAATAGCTGTGATCATTTGATGTATCGTTAAAAAAAGTTGGTCAAGTGAGTCAAAATAAATAAGAGAAACCAAAAAAATTACATAGTAAAATAATAAAAAAAAAATTATAACAAAAAAACACATCTAGTAAAATTAATACCTTCTCAGCTTCGCATTGAAGCTAATAATATGAATAAAATATGTCTTCAAACGAGGGGAGACTACACCCAAAGAAAAACCTCAATCAATTTTGATAGAGAAATTTTATCAAGGGTTTATGATAATGTTTTATTAATACGAACAAAATAATTATTCTTATAAATAATTATTGTTCAAGACAAGAAAAAAAATGATCATATTGATAAATATATCATAGATTCAATAGTAATGATATATTTATCAAATTGAACAATGAATTTATTATATAGATCGAGGTTTTTCTCTGAGTGTAGAGTGATGGGGTCCTTGATATTCATTGAAGTTATTGAATCTAGAAGAAATAAAAATGAGTTAAACATTTTTTTTTAACTCTAAAACTTTTTACTTGAAGTGCTTAAGGATTTATCCATGTTTGTAAAACTTCTAAAACTTTTGTAAGGTATTTTAAAATAAAATAAAATACAAAAATAGCATATTTTTGAATACGGAAGCTATTTTCACCATGAAGACAAAATAAAGTTCAAAATTTTTCTTTTCCATATTAAAGTACATTACATAAGTTTTAATTTAAGATATATAATAGCGTCTGTATTTTCGGATTTTTTTTCAAAAGTTAAATAGAAAAAGTTAATTTTTTGTGAAAAAGTTGTCATTTTGAATTGCCTCCTGTAGGCAAAAAAAGGTCAGATTTACAAAAAAAATTTAAATAATGATAGGTAAATGCCTCATGTATCTAAAAAAAAAAAATGTATGGATCCATATATTTTTCATAAAGTAATGGCAGTTTTAAGTAAAAAAATTTGAAATATGTTAAAAATTAGTGATTTTTAAATTTGTAATTATTTTGGAGAGGGTTATGTTTTTGACTTAATACGATTTATAATTTTTTAACGTATCGTTGAAAGAAATCAGTTTGGTGAGAGCTGATAATGAGTGGTAACAAACACACAAAAAAAAAAATCATCGTAATAAAATTAATACCTTCTCAGATTCGCATCGATGCTAAAATGTTAATCCATCACTCTTAAAAAATCTAAAACGATTCAATTTTTGTAATACTTTTAAATTTTAAAATCGGTTCAGACGTATGTTTGTAATTCTATTTCTTAGAAACATTATTTTTCGCAATAAATTGAATATTTGCATTTGTACATAACATTCTTCTTTTTAAAATTAATCCAGAAATTTGAAAATTGTTGGATGGTTACTGAATGTGACGAAACAACATTATACCAACTTAAATTATGCCTTTAATTACCAGTCATTTTCTTAATTAAATAATTTTCTATCATTTAAGTAAGTTAAATATATAACGTTGACATTAAAAAAGAATAAACTGACATCCGTATAAGAATGTAACAGTTGTTTTAATCGCCACAAAACCATCCAAATAAAATTAAATACAATATAATGTTTTTACAAATTTTTAGTTAATATAACAAGTTTATAAGTTTTGGATTTTTATATTTTGTTTTTTTTCTAGTAAATAACTGGTTTAAGGGTTATTTATTTATTCATTTGCTCGTTAAAACTTATTTAACTTTAACTGTATTTTTGCCTCATCAATGAGGTGAAAGTACGTTTTTATTTTATATTTTATATCATTACCTATTTAATAAAGAAGTAATAAAAATTACTTTTTCAAATCTCACTATTATTTCTTGTTATTTGTTTTTTCATAGTTTGTCTAGCTATAAAAAAATAAAAATAGTCTTGAACTACCATATTCTACAAGTTATACGTTTCAGCACAGTTGTCCTAGGCGTTATTTTAATATGAAATTCCCATAAATAACATTATTTACTTAACGAAGCACAAAGTGTGGCTTATTTAATTGTATACGCCAAATATTATAAAAAATATTGTGGTTTAGCATTGATTGAATGATTGAATTAATAGAATAATATAATTTGATTTACAATAAACATTTTTATTTATATCTTTTACAGATAAAAATTAAAAAAACCCAGCACAGGGGGGTCGCGGCACAGTGGTGACGTGGTATAGATGGATTAAGTATAATGATATCTGACAGTGATTAAAATCACTATCAAAAAAAAACGGCTTCGATGCAAATCTTTAGATAGTGTTTAATTTTAAAAAATTGGTGGACTATTCCAAAAGCTACATTATCTGCTAGTTCATTATTAATATCCTAATTAAGATAAAGTATGTAGAATGAAAAAGGGATTATTAAAAAATATTATTTCTCATAAAAAAATAATGTTGATCCATACACTTTTCAATATGTCATAGCATTATAAAGTTAAAAATTTAAAAAATAAAATCGAGAATTTTCACACAATAATAGCATTCGGTAGCCATTTTCACCGTGAAGATAAAATAAAGTTCGAAATTTTTTTTTCGCATAATAAAGTAAATTACATTAGCTTTAATTTAATATATATATAAAAGTGTCAGACTTTCCGGAACACTTTCAAAATTTAAGTTGAAAAAGTCAATTTTTTGTGAAAAAGTTGTCATTTTGAATCCCCCCCTGTAGGCAGGTCAAAAGTCAGATTTATAAAAAAAATATACCAAATGATAGGTAAAGACATCATGCATCTACAAAAAAAAGAATTATATTGATCCATACATCTTTCGAGAAGTTATAGCATTATAAAGTTAAAAATATAAAAAAGAATTTTTTTACAAAAATCGTATTTTTTTTATTAAGTTTAATGTCTGTTTTCACCATGAAGATAAAATAAAGTCCGAAATTTTTTTTTACCATTATAAAGTATATTACATTAGCTTTAATTTAAGATATATATAAAAGTGTCAGACCTTCCGGAACATTTTCAAAATTTAAGTTAAAAAAATTAATTTTTTGTGAAAAAGTTGTCATTTTAAATCCCCCCTTGTGGGCAGGTTAAGGGTTCAATTTATGAAAAAAATATACCAAATGAAAGGTAATGATATTATGCATCTATATAAAAAAATTTATATTGATATGTTCATTTTTGAAAAAGTTATGGCAATTTAAAGTAAAAAAAATTGAAAAAATTTCGAAAATTAGCGATTTTTAAATTTGTAATTTTTTTGGAGGTTTCCCCCTTTTACGGGGAACGAGGGAAATTTTTTCAATTTTGAAGGGTAATGTCTTCGACTAGATACGATTTGTGATCTTTTGACGTATCGTTGAAAGAAATC